CTGCACTCTGACAGGGGTGGTGAGTTCTCTTCTAGCGTCCTTGAGACGTTCTGCCAGGATGAGGGCATCGCCCAGTCGTTCACGCTTCCGGCCTCTCCGCAGCAAAATGGGATCGCTGAGCGTCGCATTGGCCTGATCATGGAGGTTGCTCGTACCTCCATGATCCATGCGGCTGCTCCCCATTTCCTGTGGCCGTTTGCGGTCCGATACGCCGCGCATCAGCTCAACCTCTGGCCCCGTGTCTCTGCTCCAGAGACCTCCCCCACACTCCGTTGGACGGGACAGCCTGGTGATGCGTCGTCGTTTCGGGTATGGGGCGAGCAAGCACTCTCCGCTGTGTCTTCTTGGGCTTCCCCACCGACGCTCCACCCTGGCAGTTCTACCACCCTGCCTCGCGTCGTGTTCTGTCCTCTCAGGATGTCACCTTTGACGAGTCGGTCTGTTACTACCGACTTCACCCGCACGCGTCCCACCCGGTCCCTCTCGCGCCTCTCTTCCTGGTACCAGTCCCCCCCCAAGTAGACCCCCTTCCCCCACAGGGTCCTGCTCCCTCAGGTGTGTCCCAGGTAGACCCACCCCCCTTGGATGAGCCAGTTGAGATCTCTTCTGACTCCTCTGACTCACCTGAGGGGGGTGACGCCGTCGCCGACGACACGGCGACCACTCGCCGCACTCCTCGCTTGGAGACCCCCCCGGGTTTCCCGCCACGGCCGTCTTCGCCGCCTCCGCAGCCTGCTGTTGTGGACTCTGGAGCTGAGACTACTGGAGTTGGGGCTGGGGGTGGTGAGTCCGGGGGTGCCCACTCTCCTCGTCTGGCTACACCCCCCGGGTTCCCACCTCTGCCGTCTTCGCCGCCTCTGCAGCCTGCTGTTGTGGACACTGGAGCAGAGACTGAGGGTATTGAGCCTGGGGGTGCTGGGACTGAGGGTACTGAGCCTGGGGGTGCTGGGACTGAGGGTACTGAGCCTGGGGGTGCTGGGACTGAGGGTACTGGGCCTGAGGGTGCTGCGACTGAGGGTACTGAGCCTGCGAGTGCTGAGACCGAGGGTCCTGCCTCTGGGGGTGCTGCGAGTTCGGGTGCTGACTCTGGGGGTGCTGCGAGTCCTTCTGGTGTTGGTGTCGTCGGAGCTCCTACCGGAGGACCTGGAGCTACTGGTGCTGGAGGTACTGGAGGTACTGCTGGTGCTGGAGGTCCTGGAGGTGCTACTGGTGCTGGAGGTCCTGGAGGTGCTGGAGGTACTGGAGGTGCTGCTGGTGCTGGAGGTCGGGGAGCTGCAGGTGCTGCTGGTCCTGGTGGAGCTGCTGGTGCTGGAGGTACTGGAGGTGCTGCTGGTGCTGGAGGTCGTGGAGCTGCTGGTGCTGGAGGTACTGGAGGTACTGCTGGTGCTGGAGGTCGTGGAGCTGCTGGAGCTGCTGGTGCTGGAGGAGCTGGAGCTGCTGGGGCTGGAGGTGCTGGAGGTGCTGGAGGTCCTGGTGGAGCTACTGGTGCTCTTCGCCACCTTCTCAGTCTTCAGCCAGGTGCTACTGGCTTCCCTGTGGCAGGTACTACTCCTCCATTGCTGTGTCCACCGGCGGACCAGTCACAGCCGCCGCTGCTACCACACTCCCCACTGCCTGCTCCTGCTCCTTACACTGCGGTGTCAGAGTCCCTGACTGAGCGTCGAGAGCCTGAGACTCGTGCTTCCACCCCTGAGCGTCGAGAGCCTGAGTCTAGCTTTGACCTTGAGCCTGAGCCTAGAGCTGCTGTCCGTGCTCGTGTTCCTCGTGTTCGTCGTCAGCGTGCTCCGGCTGTCCCCGGCACTCACGATATGACACTCCGTCCTTCCTCTGTTCCTCAGCGTGTTGTCCTACCGTTACCTCTTTGCCTGACGTTGCTGACCCTCCGTCTGACCTTACTCGTGCGTCCAGTCCGACTGTTACTCGCCTTCTTGCTACGGTTGTGACGGACCCTACGTTCTCGTCTCCTGCTGCGTCTGCCCTAGTAGCTGAGCTCGTTGACTTTGCTGCTGTGTACCGCCTAGACTACCTTGCGAGTCTTGTCTCTGACCCTGTCCCTGCCTGTCCTCCGTCCGTCGGGGGTGAGACTGCTCTTGGCTGCACTGCCCTTGGCTGTGACGTTCTTGAGGACAGACAGGAGGAGTTGGAGTGCCTTGCTGCCGCTTCACCCCATCACGCGACCATGCTGCTTGCCCCTGAAGGAGACCCGGATGCACTTGACATCCCCACCCCGCGCTCCTACAGGGAGGCGATTTCGGGTGAGTACTCCTCTCAGTGGCAGACAGCCATGGACGCAGAGATGGCTTCCTGGAAGTCCACAGGCACCTACGTCGACGAGGTTCCCCCACCTGGGGCGAACATCGTCAGTGGCATGTGGATTTTCAGGGTGAAGCGGCCGCCGGGTTCTCCGCCTGCCTTCAAGGCACGTTACGTTGTTCGAGGCTTCAGTCAGCGTGAGGGGGTCGACTTCTTTCAGACCTTCTCCCCCACCCCGAAGATGACCACTCTTCGGGTGTTGCTACACGTTGCAGCTCAGCGTGACTACGAGCTGCACTCCCTCGACTTCTCGACAGCTTTCTTGCAGGGTAGCCTTCACGAGGCCATCTGGTTGCGCCGTCCACAGAGCTTCACTGGGTCGTTTCCTGAGGGTACCCAGTGGAGCCTACGGCGACCAGTGTACGGCCTGCGTCAGGCGCCCCGCGAGTGGCACGACACACTGAGGACGACACTTGCGGCTCTTGGGTTTGCTCCTTCGACTACTGACCCGTCGCTGTTTCTACGCACCGACACTTCTCTGCCGTCGTTCTACATCCTCGTGTACGTTGACGACTTGGTTTTTGCTACTGTTGACACTGAGGCTCTGGCCCTAGTGAAGGCGGAGCTGCAGGAGAGACACACCTGCACTGACCTGGGTGAGTTGCGGAGCTATCTTGGCTTGCAGATCACCCGGGACAGAGCACGGCGCACCATCACCCTGACTCAGTCACACATGGTGCGCTAGGTCCTACAGCGCTTCCGCTTCACGTACTCCTCGCCACAGCCCACTCCTCTGGCTACCGGCCACTCGCTCTCAGCTCCACCTTCGGACGGGTCCGTAGAGCCGAGTGGTCCGTACCCAGAGCTTGTGGGCTGCCTCATGTACCTGATGACGTGCACACGACCTGACCTCGCGTACCCTCTGAGCCTTCTGGCTCGCTACGTGGCACCCGGTAGACACCGAAAGGTGCACTTTGATGCTGCGAAGAGGGTACTGCGTTACTTGTGCAGCACATCGGGCATGGGGCTCGTGCTTGGAGGACGGGGTTCGGTGGTCCTCACAGGACACTCTGACGCTTCTTGGGCCGACGACCAGGCGACTCAGCGTTCGTCACAGGGTTACACCTTCAGTCTTGGCTCTGGTTCTGTCTCGTGGAGGTCCACTCGTTCTTCTTCTGTGCTTGGTTCCAGCTGTGAGGCCGAGATCTACGCTGGGGCCATGGCTGCACAGGAGCTACGCTGGCTGACCTACCTGCTGACCGACTTGGGGGAGCGGCCTCGTTCTCCTCCGGTTCTGTACGTCGACAACAAGGCAATGCTTGCCTTGTGTCGCGAGCAGAGACTGGAGCACAGAACGAAGCACATTGCTCTGCGCTACTTCCTTGCGCGTGAGCTGCAGCAGCGTGGTCAGCTGCGCCTTGCTTTCGTGGCCTCTCGGGCCAACACTGCTGATGTCTTCACCAAGGCCCTTGGGGCTGGTGATCATCAGCGTTTCTGCACTGCTCTTGGGCTTGTGCCCACTCTACCTCACCTGCTGGTTGCTTGACTTGCTCTTGTTGTACACTGCTATATATATTTATACCTGCATGTTTACTCTTGCTAGGTTGTGATCTGTGTACTGCCTTGCTATTATAACTCTGCATGTAACTGACCTTGTGGCCGCCTGCTTGTGCTTAGATTGTGTGGTGTCCTTGAGATCCACCATGGGCTTTGTCTTGCTTGTTCTCTTGCTTGACTGGTCTTGTGACCACTGTTAGGTTTGGCAATCACCTACTTCACCTATGGGGGTGTGTCAAAACATAGAGTTATGTCTATTTCACTCTAGGTTGTGTAGGGGTCATCCCTTAGAGGGTACAACCCAATTCTCTCGACACTCTTGTACTCCCTCTCCCTTACCTAATGACCATCCTCCTCACCTAGCTAGTGATTCTAACAGTTCATGCTCAAATAACTATGACCTTACATGTGGTCAGCCATTCTGCTCTCGTTAGTAAGATTCTTCATTGAAATGGCATGTCTCCAGTGAAGTAGAATGATACATAGGCAAGTTCCTGGGCTGGATTGGGCTGATTTCTTACATACCCGTAATGTCCATACCATAGTCAACAGTGAACACCCACCTCTCTTTCCTTCACCCTGCGGACTGCTGCCCCTGGTTGTGAGGTTTGGAAAACATGAGGGGTGTGACCGTGTGACAGGGCTGCACAACGTGATCATTCTAGACCCCAAGCCTGAAGTACAAAGCATCTCACCGAGCTCTAGTTGTGGGTGATTCACAGCAATTAGTCGCGTTCCTTTCAAGCCCTACTTGCAGCCTCATAAGGTATCGTTGCGTACCGTAACAATCAAACTGCTTCGCCTTGTAGATATGTGGCGTGCACTGCAAGTGCGATTCTCACTAACTTCATTCTCTCACAAGTTGTGCTTAGGTTGAGAGCTCTTCTGGCAATAGGGCCAATGAACAGCCCAGCTGCACAGACGGCTTTCAATGCGCTTTGAGAGTGGGTGTGAGCAGCAGGAATTGTGGAAGCTGACAATTTATTGTGCCCAGCAGTTGGCTGTAGGGTGACGCACGCACGCGCGCTGCAGTGACTGCTAGGTGCCCAACCGATCAAAGGCGCACTATTGCTGTAATGTGATGTGATCTCATATAAATCTTTATTTCATAATTGCCAAACATTTGAGACCATAGTCTGCCTATCGCAAAGCTACACTACCTAATGGACGTTTGGCGCATATTTGTGGGGCTAACTGCCAGCCGCAACCTTGAAGACGACGCAACGATGAGTCTGAAAAGAGAACAGAATGCGTTAGCACAAAAATAGCTCCTGGAGAGAAGGAACAAGTACACCGAAGAAAAAAAACGAGTGGGAGGCGGAGGCAGGAGACACATCAGCGTCAACAGCATAACCGCACCTGAGGGTAGCCTGGATTGTTGTCGTTAGGGTTCAGCCATACCGACGCGTTGACGCCCTTGCCGAGCTTAATCTTAGCGGTTTCGATGTACAGCTTGATGCACTTGCCGTTGAGCTCGTTGATCTTGGCCCGGGGCATAGGCCGGATTCCCAGGCGGTCATTGCGGTTCACGAACTTGGTGTACGCGTCACTAGCTCCACGAGCGCGGAAAAAGAAGTAGTTATCGCAAGAACCGCCCTGAATTGAAGGGATTAGGAAAGAGTGTAAGTAGACAGATTTGGCCGGGAGTAAGGGAATAAGTGCGGCAGGTGAATGCTTCCAAAAGCGTGCATTGTTTGAATATCGTTTAAAGCGTTCAAGGTCGTATCCTTACCCCTATGACTTTGCAGAAGGGTCCCGAGGTGGTTGCTGTCTGCACGGGCTTGTCAGACCTGTAGCGACGGAAGGGGATAAGACGAGAAAGAACGGTAGCGGTAAGGAGAAACGAAAGTGGTAGCCAAGGGCCAGTGGACTCTGTGCTCGAGCATCCGTAGCGCGTTAATGGTGAAGAAACGAGTATCGGGTTCTGGCAGTAGCGTGTCGAGTAGTAGTAGCGTGACTCACTCGTGGCGGAGAGCAGTGGAAGCGACCTTCTCGACGGCGACGGCATTGATGGTGATCACGGGCGTTTCCCCCTTAAAGTTGTAGAAGTAAAAGTCACACACCTGCAGCAAGGCACGCCGAGATAGAAGGGAATGAGGTAAGCACACCACTCGCTTCCTTTGTTCAACCGATGTGGCCACGCTCCGACGGAGAAGCTGCCTGGTGTTAGGGCTTTCGAATCTATTCACCACGATTGTCATCGTGCGCACCTACCAAGATTCCATGCAGGGTACGTGTCTAGGAGAAACTGTTACAATGCAGCATTGAAGGTGAGGGCGCTTGGCATAGGGTGGCGAGATGTGAATATTACTAACCGCAAGTGGGGCGACGCAGGGATCAAACTTCTTTGGCTTACTAGGCGCTGCTTGGACGCTGATAGCCACCAAGCCTGGAGGTTATCGTGGGGGAAATCCGGCAAAAATACACGAGAGATGAGAGCTTGCACGTATGGGACGAGTTTCTGCTGAACATGAGAATTCCAATGCATAGACAACTCACCTATAATTGCGGCGACGAGAAGGAGACGGCGGGCCATGGCTTTAGGTTGATCAATCAAGAACGGGCAAGACGTTCACTTGTTTCACTGGCACTAGCAGCAGTTGAAGATCAATGGAGGTGAACTGGTCTGGAGATGAGCAAATTATACGAACATTGAAGATGCGCATGAACCACAATCGCTGGCTAAAATCTTCCGCGCGGTTTGAACCTACAATTTGGCACGAATAGCGACATCGACGGATTTCCTTCCATGAACTCCGTGCGACTTGGCAAAAGCAGCTCTGGTCTGGTGCTGCCTGTACTGCTGAGCTCTGGAACGTGACGTAAGTGGAGTTGAACTTGGTTCGGAAGGTGCCTTGAGCGGCTTGGAGTCTTGACAGTGGACGAACACGCTGCGCATATTTTTCGCGTGGGTTGTTCGACAGCTTCGAGCCTGGATATGCAGCGCCGCAAAGGGCGCGAGCCAATAGGTGCAAGTCCCTGCCGGTTTGGAACAGGTGTCGCACGAATAAGCTTGGTTGTGCCTTCCGCGGCACGGAGGTGAGCCCACCGTGACTCCCGAATTTGCTAAGCATGGTTATTGAAGAGCTAAGGTTATAATACACTACTAATACTAATCAGACGAAAATACATCTTGCCACAATGATCTGATCATGAATTATGCAACTTTAGGAGGGGACAACTACAATCATATTAGACCAAAATGCACTACATAGCTGTGGCTTTACCCTTGCATAATGCTACTGAGGTATGCAACCAACCATGCACATGCACATGTGCGAATTCCATGCACCTCCACACCACCATCTTGCCTACTCCCAAATACAGCCACTTTCACCCTTCAGTTTATGGTGCTCATCCTTTCTGAACACACAATGGGAATAGCCTGAACTCACCCCTGCTCAATGCCTCCCTCTTCCTGCCTTCTGTGAATCCTCCTGGCCCCTAGCCCATCCCATTCCCAAACTCGGCCCAAACCCACTGCCCAAGCTACCACTCCCTTCCCCACCTTCCACTTGCCAGCCTCGACCGTAACCACCACCAACAGCACCACGACGAGTGGCAGGAGGAGAACGAAGAGAGGCGGCAGCAGCAGAAGCAGCAGACCCAAGGAAGCGGTCGAATCCGCCACCACTTTCCAACCGATTCACGCCACCAAGACGAGATTCATCTGCATACTGGCTCCTGGCACACTCCCAACCGCCAGGGCCAGAGTAGCTGTTGGATGCCGATTGGCGTGAAGACATGGCCGAGACAAACTCCCTGGAGTTGAAGCTACTGAACCCAGGCACACGGCTGCTGTAAGTGTTGGCCTTTTGTGGCTGCTCTATTTGATACCAAGTGCCATCACGCTTGGCAGAATTGTGGCTGGAAGGAATAGGCATGGCAGATGACAAACGATGTGCTGCTGTTGCTGCTGATGCCCTTTGTGAGGCTGGTGCGATTGGTGTGGCTGAGGGAAGTGAGGATGGCAATATGGTTGAGAGTCCTGCTGGCGGTGCGCCATACATGACACGATTGCCCCATGCTACTGAACCAGGGATTCCTCGGGATGGTTCTGCCCCGGCAGCAGCAGCAGAAGGGAGATGTGGGGCAGGAGGAGGAGTAGGAGTAGGAGCAGGAGCAGGAGCACATTGGAACGGCAGCAGTGACGCTTTGAAGTGGCTGCCAGACTCACGGTGCACGAGAGTATCCCGGGATAAGAAGGCAAGCGGGGAGGGGGACGGGCGCTTAAGAGGAGGAGGGGGCGGGCGATGGGGCTGGAAGTTGAATGGATTGATTGCTGTGATAGCACTGCACCCCTTCTTCACTACCTCCATTCCTTCCACACTCTTGCTAAAAGAGCCGCCCACGTGGTTAACGCTAACATGGTGAACAGGACCCACCTCCATCCGCCCCATCCGCCCCGAACCCCTTCCTCCTCCTGCATCCCCTCCTTTCCGGAAGCTGCTGCTTCTGCACACTCTGTCTTCGTCTTCCACCTCCTCCTGCTCCTGTTCCTCGCCATCCTCTTCTCTCTCTCCTTCGCCCCCCTCCTTCACTTCTCCTTCCTCCTCGCCCCCATCTCGCCTACCAGCTCCACCACCCACCACCACCCCTAAACCTTCCCCCTCTTCCTCACCTTCCCCCTCCCCCACCCTTTCCCCTTGCCTTTCCCCTTCCCCTCCTTCTCCCCCTTCCCCTTCCCCTTCCCCTCCGCCTTCCTCCTCGCCTCCCATGCAGGCTACTCGCTCCTCTAACCGCTCCACGTGCTCAGTGGATGCGTCTAGGGCCTCTCTCAGTATCCCCACTTCGTCACACAGCGACCGTTTCTCCCGCTCCGCCTTTGCCGCTGCCTGCCGCAGCGCCGCAATCGACTGCTGCTGTTGCTCGATGAGGGACAAGAGCGACGCGTTCTCCAGCAGGAGAAGCTCCGCCTTTCCCGCCTGAGCTGGCGCTTGTACCGCTGCGCCTGCTGCGGCTGCTGATGCTGCTGCTGTTGTTCTTGGTTCAGGCACTGCCGCAGCGGCAGCAGCAGCACCACCAGCAACAGTAGCACATGCCCCGTATGATCCTATGGTATTCTCGCCAGCAGGCACTCTGACTCTCTCACCCTCCATCCCCCCTCCCTCAAACCATTCCGTCTCCGACCTCCCCGTCCCCCACAGTTCGCCTTCCCCGCGCACAGTTCCGCCCTCCGCCTTCCCCCCCAACTCGTTCCCCCTCGCGGAGCTCGCGTGCACAGCCAGCCCCTCCGCTGCGCTGAAGCGCTCACCCCCGATCCTGGAGGTTAGCTCACCACGAAACCCTTCCCCCTCGCTAAAAGCACACTGCTTTCCATGACTCCACGGAGCAGCCATAGTCTTTAATGTCAGAACAGAACCAGCCTCGTCCGTGACCTAGTACAAAAGGAGACCTCCCTTCTGCCGGTCACGGTACGCGTGGTTGCGGTTGCTGGAACCAGCCGATCCGCGCAGCAGCTCTGGTCTGACGAAGAGAGGACTCGAATGACGAGTGGAGGAATCAGCCTTGTGAACTACACCAAGGGCGAGTGCGCGTTTTATGTAAATCGCACTTTTCACATCGGACGGCGAACACGGACACACACCGAACACTCCAACCTCCAACTGGCGCGGCTCGCCGGCTTTTCCCCCATAAAACGCATGGCTAGATGGCTCTGGAAGCTGGTTCTTGGCGTAGCGTTCGTCCTGGCTTCAAGTTATTGAGCAGGAACTGGTTACATTAATCGTCGAGCTCGCGAACTTAATGCGCTTAAACATTTCGCTGAAGCTGGGAAACCAGAGCCGGAACAGCCACGTGGCACCGGCATAAGTTCGAAAATTATTACCTCGAAACGGTCGACATGCAATGGCGGACTGCTTCTCATGGGGTGACGCGCGCGGCAAGGAAATTGGCAGGAAGGGAGGGAGGGAGGCAGCGAGGGCAGAAGACAGACCAAATATGGTAGTGCTGTGCGTCGAGGAAACCACGGTGGGCCACACCCTGCTTGACATGGCAAATGCTGATTCGAGATTATCCCTTTGCAGGGGCCCACATATATAGCGGAAACACACTATACATACTAGAGTTCAAGTTCTTTTATTATTACATACACAGTCCGAGTTCTCAAAGGTGGAGGTTATTGCCAATTATTCACTTCATCTTCAGGGATGAGACTTCCTAGACTGCTGTTTGATGGTTGCATCTTTAAAAAATAACATTACGATCTGCAAAACCAAATATGGTAGTGAATGTGAGCATGAATAATAATACACAATACAAGGTGTGATGTGGATTCTTATTGGAGGACCAAAACATGAAGTTTGGACAAAATACTGTGGGCTCTGATCTGATCATTACATCTGATCCTTACATCCTCATAAGATAGTGCATTGAGAAAAGATGTTCATGCCGTGACGGAGTAACCCTAACGGTGAGAGTAGAAACACGTACTTGTGGTTTCCAGTTCTGCTGCGTGGCATCACTTGCAACAAATGAAACTTCTGCACTGTAGACGAGCAGAAGTACGTGCTGAGCTGTTTGTCGTTTCTCAATCCACTTCAAAAGGTCGTCGGTGTCGCTCGCTGGTGTTCAATTGCTCTGGTCCCCCTTGTCTTCATCGATTTTACCGACAGTCAACCATATCTTCCAGCAGCTTTGCATGTTTCGGGGGTTGCTTGACGATTGGTGTTTGTGTGCACCAGCCATCCAGTTTCTACACCAGAAAAGCGCGTCCCATCCCATCTCATCCACGCCAACAGCTAGTTCAGAAAAGGGTGAAGTTGTATCTCAAAGCGGTAAAATACTAGTTTGCATGGTTGGGTATGGTACTGAGTGTACCACCCCAGTCAAAACTCATGACAAAATAGCAGCAGAGGTTCATGTTCCGAAATAGCGGCAGAGTGTAGATTCCGCTTCCTGTTGTGGTTTGGCTTGGAACTACACTTGATGGGCGTTAGAGCTCATAAAATGGAGTGAAGCGAGCTTAGGTCTCGCCAACTTTCGCCACAAGAAAAAGAAGGGCCTGTATGTGACATCCCGCGTGGCTCAAGTGGCAACACTCTCAAAATAAGGGCGCATTCTTGGATCGTGTCTGACATGAGGTCAGACACGAAGTGAAGTTGAGGAAGACCCGAAGTGACCTGGAACTCTGGCAAAACAACGCTCGGAAGACCCGAAGTGGGCCACTTCGGGTCTTCCGAACCTCCTTCCAAACCTCCACTTCGTGTCTGACACAATGTAGGAATGCGCCCTAACTAACGAACGGAGGCTTGGCAGCGTGATAAGTTGAGAGATCAGCGGCTGCGATAAAAGCATGGGCTTGTACACGATGGGCCGTTGCCCGTGTTCGAACGCACCAGGGATACGGTTTCAAAAGGTGTAGCAGATTCAAGAAAGAAGGCTGAGCATAATGTGTATCCACAAGAAAGGAAAACCAGGGAGAAAACAAGGCCGCACACAATTTTCCGAATTGGCGAATTGGGACCAGAGTGCACTGTACTCCCAAGGGATGAAGCAAGGGGTACCCCATTACTGCTGCACATCAGAGTAAAGGTCTTGAAAGAGCCAGCCTCATCAAAGAAGCAAGCAAAAATGCCCCAAAATCGTGACGAAGGTTGAGGCAAATGGACATACTTACGGTTAAGTTGAAAATGCCAGAACAACGGGGTGGTTTCCAGTAAATAAGGCCGTCAGATAAACGTGAAAGTAAATTCCTACCGTCCCGTCCAGCTTCACCCACCCAAGCATGCTCCCTCCCACACACCTCACGAAACCTGTTGTCGCATTCCCTCCTTGCTCTCCTCTCCCACCCCACCGCCTCCCCTTGCTTTCTGCCCATGAAGAAACGCATAACGTTCGCCCTAGCCAGACCAGAAAGCAGCTCATGCACACTTCGGCCATAGCATCAGAAGGCCCATTAGGTTATCCTCCTGCGCATCGGTTGCACCTGCGTTGCTCCGTCCCCGCAACTACCACGCCGCGTATTTTGTTGATAGCTCACTCACGCCCTCCCTGCCGCTTAGCTCGCCTCCGTCGTTGCCAGGACAAGTCTGCCATCAAGCCTTGTTTTTTTATTTTCAGATTTGTTAGTCGCCGTCGTTTTCTGTCAGTAAACTGCACACAGCTCTTTAACTGCAGCCCACACTTGTCACAGCATGGGAAGAGCGGCCATCGATGGCGCATCTTCAGCGTTCCCCAGCAATGTAGTGGTGCCATCTCCTCCTTTCCTCGTATGCCCTAGACCACCATCGTCGCATATCTCAGTTGCTCCACCGATGGAAGCCGGCGCGGCAGCAGCACCGGCTGCGGCTGGAGGGAGCGGGTCTGCGGAACCAACAGGGCCCCCAGGCTCAGCACACGCGGCGGCGTTGGCGGCGAGCCGCGTGACGAAATCCCGCGCTCGCAAGCTACGGATGATTGCGCATGCGGCGAAAACCTCGCAGAAAACGCCAAACGGGCCGTCGGGCGGCGGAGAAGACGACGAGGACGTGGACAACCCGTTCGCAGACATGCTTAGACGCAGCGCGAGTGCCCGAGGTAGCAGCAGCAGCGCGAGTGTGCAAGACAGCGACGACTTACGCGGAAGTTCCAGCGCGCGGGACTTAGGATCTGGTAGTAGCGTCGGCGGAAGCCACGCGCAACTAGCGGAGGTCCACTCATCTGCAGTTCCGCCGGCAGTTTCGACGGGAGAAGCGGCGGCTGACGCGGCAGCTGGTCTGGCGGTTTCAAATGGTAACGCATTCGCTGAGAAACAGAAACCCCAGCAGGAGCAGCTGCAGCCGCAGCAGCCGCAGCAGCAGCAGCAGCAGCAGCAGCAGCAGCAGCAGCAGTTGCGTGATGTCGAAACTGGTTGTAACGAGGACGTGAGCCGGGGTGCGTCGTTGATTGTATCTTGTGAACGTGAAAAGAAAACCGGTAGTTGCCAGGCCGGGGAAAGTGCGCTCACGGATCCCTCCTCCTCCTCCTCCGCTTCGGCGCTTGCGGCGGCGACGGCGGCGGTGGCGGGCACTGGTGTGGAATCACCGGCGCGGGAGCATTCTGACGCCGGTGATTCGTCTGCCGCGTCGACGCCGCGCAGGCACGGCCGGAGCAGCCGACGCGTCCTCCATATCGGAGCGTCGCAGCGCCGAGCGCTGCTTCGCTGTCGCGCAGCGGAAAGGCGACTTCAGGGCGACTTGGGCGACGGCGTCGCAGGAGGAGGAGGAGGAGGAGGACCAGGCGACGTTTTCGAGCGAAGCCAGACATTGGACTACTCGCGGCTGCGTTCGCGCGGCGGCATGCGCGACTCGCTGGATTCCTTCGCGGGCGAAACGTACGCCGCAAGCGTCGGGATTCTGGACGAAGATATTCTCGTCTCGTTCGAGGATCTCCGGTCGGAAGACGGAGAGGAAGGCGGCGGAAGCGTCGGGGGAGGCGGAGGCGGCTCGGGAAGGTGGCTTCTGCCGTATTTCAGGACCGCAGAGAAGCAGCAGCAGCAGCAGCAGCAACAGGGGGAGCAGCAGGGGGAGGAGCAGGCGGAGCGGGAGGAGCAGGAGGAGCGGGAGCAGCGGAAGCAGCAGCAGCAGCGGGGGCGGCGGAGCTTGAGTTGGAAAGAAAAGACGGATGGCGGAGAGGACTTGACGGACTATCCGCGAAGCGGCAGCTATGGTGAGAGCGTGTGCGAGTCGGACGTGCAGAGCGTAGACGACGGTGAATTCAGTGTAGACGGCGATAACGAGTCGCTCGGCGGGGAAAGGAAAACGCGCGTCCGCTTTAGAAGGATCACCAACAGCAGGAGCCTGAAAGCGCTCTCCGGCCGCGACGCGGAGTATAAAGAAGCTGACTGTAACGGCGACGCCGGCGGCGGCGGCGGCGGTGGTGGCAGTTCGAGATCTGCAGCAGCAGCCACCAGCCCGTCGGACGCGCAGTACGCGCATTTCACGGCTGCCCTGCCGCCGCTATGCGCGTCCCCGCTAAGGACGTACAGCTCTCGACGGCGCACTATGGAGCTCGCGCTGATCTCCCCCACCGCCGTCGCCAACAGGCGCAACAACTCCGCCTCTTCCCCCTCCGCTTCCCCCTTCCACGCGCGCTCCGCGGGCCTCTCGCCTTCCTCCGCGAACGCCTCCGCGGGCTTCGGCAATGGTTCTGCTTCCGGGGTAAGTCCTCCCGCGGGCAGCGCTTCTGCCGCGCCCCCCGGTCCTGCCGCCGTGGCCGGCGCTACCGCCGCGTCCGGGGAGCGTAGGGCGGCTCGGCAGTGGACGGGGCCTCGAGCCGCGAGCCCTGACGTGCCGCCACCTGGCGGCGTGGTAGTGGTCAGGGAAAGGGCCTTCACTCGATCGCTCACGCTAGGAAGCAATCCCAGCGCGAACCAGCAGAGCCAGCAGCAGCAGCAGCAGCGGGATGTGCGGAGAAGCTATGGCGGTAGTTTCAAGGATCGCGTAGGGTCGCATGGGGGGGAGGGGGAGATGATAGGGGGTGGCGGGTGGGGAACCCTGCGCGAGCCCACGCCCGTGCACAGCAGCAGCAGCAGCCAGGGCGGGACGGATTTGGAGAATGTGGAGAGTGGCGGGGAGACAGTGGGGAATGCGGGAGCTCTGGCGGTTGTTCCGCAGTGCGCCGTGTGCCGTGGTGCTCGTGGCGGCGCTGCGGCTGCTGCTGCTGCTGGTGGTAGGGCCGGGGGCGGTGGGGGCGGTGGTGGTGGTCGCCGTGGGAGCTGCAGCGGATGTGACTGTTGCAGTGGTGCTGTGGGCGCGGTTGACGCTGGTGACGGCGCTGAGGCGACGGGCAGAGGGCGGAGGGATGTGGGCGGAGCAGGGGGAGCGGGGAGCAGAGGGAGCAGCGGCGGCGGAAGCCGGTGGGGCTCGCCACAAGAGTGGGCATTAGCAGCAGCGGCAGTAGCGGGAGGGGCGCCAGGCGGAGCAGCAGGCGGAGCAGGGGGGGCAGGTGGGGCAGGCGGGGCAGCAGGCGGGGCGGGAGGCGCGATGGGCATGGGAGGCGGAGCTCCCAAGGTGATGGTGTCCATTCTGCCGAGCTTCGCCCAGCACCGCGCCATGGTGGCTCAGGCGGAGCAGCGGGAGAAGGCTCTGCTGCTGGGGGACGTCACGGGCAAGCTGGGGCGCAGGCGGCGGGGAGGTGGGGGAGGGGGAGGGAGTGCGCGGGTGCTAGTGGTTACTTATGCGGATGGTGATGGGGAGGAGGGGAGTGAGACGGAACCGCTGGGGAAAACGGGCAGCGAGGGGAGCGTTGTGGACGAGAGGGGAGGGGAGGGGGATGGTGTGGAGGGAGGAGAGCGGGGTGACGATGGGCAGATGTGCCGTGAGCAATTAGGGCACGCAGGGCAGGAGGAGGGACAGGTGGAACAGGAGGGGCAGGTGGGTTGTGTAGGGCAGGGGACAGGTGAAGGGGCAGGTGAAGGGGCAGGTGAAGGGGCAGCTGATGCACCAGCAGTGCAGTCAGCGGATGGGCGCTCCCAGAGTGTTGCCTCCTCTACCTTTTCCGAGTCTCCTCTTTCTGATGGTCGTGAGACTTTAGGTGGCGATGCTAGTAGTGATGGTGGTGATTCTGCAATTAGTGGTGGTGTTGACCGCTCAGCTATCAGTGCAGGTGGGGTTGAGGCTCACGAGCAGCAGCAGCAGGAACAGCAGCAGCAGCAGCAGCAGCAGCAGCAGCAGCCGCCTCTTGATGCCTTCTCTGCAACGGCCAAGCCTCAGCAGCAGCAGCACTGGGACGATCCTGTGCTGATAGCTCCCGTGTACTCGGTTCGTGCTGAAACCTAGTAGGTGCCAAGCTTTGTGCACTCATACCGTACCGTACACGTGCAGCGTAGGTGTGCCTTTATTCCCCTCTGGTAAGGTATCGACCAGAGTCGTGACTGAAGGCTTTGATTTATTTATTTCCTTTCACGGGTTTTCTGTGTTGCTTCAGATCTGAACCTCCAGTGTAGATGAACATTGAGTCGTGTAGGCTTAGCATTCTGGTAGCATTCTGTTGGTTGGTGACTACACTCAGCACAGCTTTCTGTTCGCACCACCACCACATACGGTAGGGAAGAATTGAGTTTGGCTGCAATCTTTTGCTGTCGCACCACCACATCAGCAATACGGTACCACAATACCATGAGATGGATTCTGGACATTCTATATGGTTCCAAAACCGACAAAACCATCATTGTGTGTGTAGGCTTGAGCAGGCCCTCAGATTGGTTTTGGGCTAGGCTGAAAAATCAGAGTTGGTACACGACTTGACTCTGAAAACCAGACAAAAAAGGGCATAAATACCACTGCATACTAGTAGGAAAAATCGCATTTTCCCTGATTTTTTTTCCAAAAAAGGCTGAACTTTCAGAGTTCACTATAAAAAAAGGCTGAAATATCAGAGTTTTTAGGGTAAAGCAGAGAAATTTCTCCGACTTCTTGGGGCCTGTGGTTTGAGTCATAAAACAATCATATACTCATGTAGGTACCGTACTTCCGGATTTACCTAACTTAACCAATCAGACAAAAAAAAATCCATGAAATTCTGACGAGTCTTGGTGGTCTGCCAACAAGCTGAGGGCGTGGTCTAAAGTAAGATAGCGGGCGGAAACACTACAGTGATAAAACAGCACTTCAATCAACCAGTGTACGTATCAACGCTGATGCATCTTGCTGCTGAGGCGCCTCTCTCCACTCTGCACACACCTACCGTACCAGCCTACTCTACAAGTCAAAGCAGCGCAATAACATACAGTAACACACAGTACACTAGCAGCTAGTAGTGGTAACCGCCTCGTGACTGCTGCGACGACTGCTGCTGGCTGCCGTAACCACCACCGCCGCCGCCACCCCCTCTGCCTGTCCGCTCATACTCATTCCCGAACTCCCCCCCCCCTCCACGCCCATATTCTTCCTCCCGGTGCCCTTGCTGCTGGTAATGCTGCTGCTGCTGGTGCTGCTGCTGCTGGTGCTGCTGTTGCTGCTGGTACTGTGGTTGCTGGTGTTGATGGTCCCGACCACTGCCACTAGAACCGCCGCCGCTGCCGCTGCTGCTGCCGCTGCCCCCACTGCTGCCGCCCCCTTGATCTGAAAGGAAGATAAGGTGGGGGTGTTGGCATGGAAGAGCAGGGCCGTGAGCATGGAAGTGCAGGGATGATAAAAATTGACAGGTGATCATGCAGGGGAACAAAGGGAGAAAAACAGAGAGGAAGTGAGGGGAAACGAAGGGGAAAGGAAAGGAGTGGAAGGGAGGGGACAAGGAGAAAGGAGAGGAAGGAGAAACGAAGGGGGAAAGAAGCAAGAAGTTTCAGGCGATACGGCTAGTCTACACTAACGTGCATCCTTGCACTGCATCCTTGCACCCCGCAACGCACCCTTTCATCGGCCTTGTGGGTACTGAGGGCAGTGCGCAGTCAACGGCACACGCCACCCCAATGCCACACTGCATCACATGCCCAGCCACCCCATCCCAAACACACTCGCTCACCTCCGAACAGGGCGTTGGCTGAGGGCCGCTTGGGCTTGCTCTTCTTCTTCAGCTCTGCTTGCCGTCAGTCCCACACAGCATGGCGCAGCATGGCATGGCATGGCGTGGTACGGCGTGGCATGGCATGGCATGGCATGGTACGGCGTGGCATGGAACGGCATGGCATGGCATGGCATGGCATGGCAGAACAACGCACGCAGGGGCCAGAAGAGAATGTGCATGATTAGAGCTTGTGCGAGTGTGGAGGAGGGGAGCGTGTTGGTAATGTGAGTACGGGGTAAGGCAGGAAGAGCAATGAGCGAGGGGTTGTGTGTGCATAAGATTGTGAGTAAGAAAGATGGGGCTAAGGGAAAGGGGGGGAGGAGGGGGGGGAGGGGGGGGGGGAGAAGAACAAGGGAGAGAGGAGGAAAGACACGCGTCCAATAAAAGCGCCCATCTGCCTGAAGACTGACTGAGACCTTTTTTTCGGTTTGACTTGCTAGTTACCTCTGTATGGCCCCACACACCAACAGAGTGCACTGGAAGGACACACCATGAGAATTTTCTAGAAGCACCCACCACTCAAGACCCATCGCCCACCACCCATCACCCAACACCCAGCACCCAGCACCCAGCACCCATCACGCACCTGCGGAGTGTGCCCCTTGTGTGATCTCCATGTTGCGGTATGTGTACCCCACGAAGTTGATGTCCTTGGATGGCAGCATCTGCGATGCATGCGTGGGAGGGGGGGGGAGAGATTGGAAGAAATGGGACAAGAAGGACAGGGGAAGGAGTGAGTGTGTGTCCTGCCCTGCCCCCCTGCACGACCTCCATGTTGCGGTATGTGTACCCCACGAAGTTGATGTCTTTGGATGGCAGCATCTGCGATACATAGTGGAAAGGGGGGGGGAGGGAGGGAGAGGGATGGGAATGAACGGGACGAAGGGGGGTGGGGAAGGAGAGAGCGTGTAAGGCCCTGCACGACCTCCATGTTGCGGTATGTGTACCCCATGAAGTTGATGTCCTTGGATGGCAGCATCTGCGATAGGGACGGATAGCAGGGTGGCGCGCACGGGGCAGGGCAAGGAGGAAGAGGAAAGGAGCGAGTGCAGCGCAAGGGAACACGGGAGGGGGAGACAGAGGGAGGGAAACGGGGGAAGGGGGAGATGCGGGAGAAACGGGGGAATGGGGGGAATTTGGGTGAGAAGCTGAGGAGAAAGAGGAGCAAGAATTTGTGGAACTCCAGCAAGATGCCTGGCCAAGGGGTTTAACTCAATCTGAACAACAATAAAAAGCTGGCATTGAGTGAGCGCAGACAACTCAACACATCCCACCCTGAACCCATTCCCACACTCAGGCATCCCCACCGCACAGCACAGTGAGCCCTCCCCTTGGCTAAGCCGTCCCGCCCCCAGCGTGGCACGCACCTTTCTCCATGGGCCGGCTCGTCCCTGACCCGATGGCATCTCGTCCACCTGCCGTGCCGTGCCGTGCAGTGCCCACCACGTTCAGAGGGAGGGGTCAGAAGGGTGAGAGCGAGAGGGGAGGGAACGAGGAGGGAGGAAACGAGGGGATTGTTCAATATACTAATATATTCTCCATGGCCCGGCTCGTCCCTGCCCCGATGGCATCTCGTCCACCTGCCGTGCCGTGCCGTGCCGTGCCCACCACGTTGAGGGGGATGGTGCACACGGGTGGGAACAAGAGAGGAGGGATGGGATGGGATGGGATGGGATGGGATGGGATGGGGAGAGAGGGTTGAAGGGAAAGAGGGAGGGCGGGGAGGCTACGAGGAGAAGTGTGCACAGAAATGCTTGACAAAGAAGTGCAAAGGGCGCGAGAACTGCATGTATAAGAAAGCCTTGGAATTGCCAAGGGGGGAGGGAAGTTGTGTGTGTGTGCGTGCGTGCGTGCGTGCGTGCGTGCGTGCGTGCGTGCGTGCGTGCGTGCGTGCGTGCGTGCGTGCGTGCGTGCGCACTTGTCACCCACCACCACCACCTTCTCGCTTCTCCCATTCTTCTTCTTCTTGCAAGTGGAGTAGTTGTCCACGAGAATACTCACAAACGATTATGAATCCAGACTCGAGGGCCACCTACAACAAACGCTCAAGCCATCCCTCATTCCCTCCTCCCTTACCACCTGCTTACCTCCCCCTGACCTCCCCCCCCGGCGCACCTCATCAAACTTCTCAAAGTTCTGTGTGTCAATCAAGCTCCTCCACCACCTTTGGCTGGAAGGTGGTGCACTGCACGCCCCATCACCCTCACCCTTCCCCATTGCCCTGCATTCACCACTGCCCCTCGCCCCCCCTCGCCCCTCCCCCTCCGCGCACCTCATCGAACTTCTCAAAGTTCTGTGTGTCAAGCTCGCCCACCACCTCGGGCTGACAGGTGGTAGTAGACGCCCCTCCACCCTTCCCCATAACCCACCATTCAGCCAGCACCCCTCACCCCACACCACCTCTCTGACCCCCTCCGCGCACCTCATCGAACTTCTCAAAGTTCTGTGTGTCGAGCTCGTCCACCACCTCGGGCTGGAACGCCGCCTCCATGTTGTACAGCCGCTCCCACGGCAGCCCCGCGAACCACGGGTGGCTCTGATGGAGATAGACACAAGGTGGGGCGGGGGGAGAGATAGGTGGCTTGACTGACTGACTGACTGACTGGTCGCCTCCATGTTGTACAGCCGCTCCCACGGCAGCCCTGCGAACCACGGGTGGCTCTGATGGGATAGACACGAGGAGGCGGGCGGGCGGGGTGGGAGCATCCAGGTGGAATTCGGGGCAAGGGGAAGTGGGGAAACGAAAGCAGGGGGTGAGGTGCGGAGAGGGGTAAGTGCGGGCCGGGGGGAAATGGGACAGGGGAGGTTGGGTTGCAGTGCAGGCAGAGAGGAGAGGACCGGGCAGTCAGGTTTTGAGGCGCCTCAAAACGAGAGGAGAGGACCGGGCAGCGCACCTTTATCTCGCCCACGCTGTCCTTCCCCCATCCTACCTTCTCTTCCCCCCCGCACGTCCTCCCCCCCTGGCAGCACAGCACAGCACAGCACAGCACAGCAGCGCACCTTGATCTCGTCGACGCTGATGGTGCCAAGGCGGTGGTCCACGTCGCACAGCAGGCGGGGCGGCTGATCAGGGCATTGCCTCCCGGATTGCAATGCAGCACGCACCACACACTGCGTTATGCACACACCTCACGACACACACAAGGACTCCAGCGCACCTTGATCTCGTCGACGCTGATGGTGCCGAGGCGGTGGTCCACGTCGCACAGCAGGCGGCTGATGAGGTCCCTCGCCTCCCATGTCAGCACCGCCTCCTCGGGGAACTTGAGGTGCGTCCGCCAGTTCACAATCTGGTGCACATGCGGCACGGCACGGCACACCAAGTTCCCGCACAAGGGAAAGCATAAGGGCAAGCAGAAGAGCGGGAATGGGCGGACGGGTGGACACAAGGGAGGGAGGGTGCAAGGGAAGGAGGGAGGGAGGGAGGG